CTGTGAGTTCATTCTAACCAAAAGAAAACAGCAAAAGTGATGGGATGTATGTGATTACATGTAGGTAATTATGTAAGACCAGAATGTCTGCCCTGCAAGGGACACTTTCCCTTGCTAGCTCTGATGAAATAACTGGCAATAGCAGAGAGGCCTATGTGGCAAGGAACTCAAAGCAAGATCCAGCTGGTAGCCAGCAAGGACTGGTGAGTTCAGTCAATAGGTCACAAGGAATATGTTGTCAACAACCATGGAAGCCTACAAATGGATTCTTTCCCAGTATAGTCTTAGAATAATGAGGTTGCAGCTATAGCCAGTATCTTTTTTTTTTTTTTTTTTAAGATTTAATTATTTAAGAGGTAGAGTTACAGAGAACTGGTTAACTCCCCAAATGGCCACAATGACCAGAGCTGAGCCAACCCAAAGCCAGGAGCCAGAAGCCTCCTCCGTATCTCCCATGTGGGTGCAGGGGCTCAAGAGTTTGGGCCATCTTCTGCTGCTTTCCCAGGCCATAGGAGAGCTTCATTGGAAGAGCAGCAGCCAGCACTAGAATCTATGCCCATGTGGGATGCTGGCGCGGCATGCAGAAGATTAACCTACTCCGCCACAGCGCTGGCCCTGCAAGTATCATTGTTCTATAAAGATTTATTTCTATATTTGAAAGTTAGAAAAGAAAGACAGAAATCTTCCAAACACTGGTTCATTCCCCAGATGGCCCCAATGGTGAGGGCTGGGCAAAGCAGAAGCCAGGAGACTGGAACTCCATTTAGGTCTCCCATGTGGGTGGTAGGGGCCCAAGCATTTGGGCCATCTTCCACTGCTTTCCCAGGCACATTAACTGGGAGCTGGATTGGAAATGGAGCAGATGGGACTTGAACCAGAGCCCATATGAGATACTGCAGGCTACTGCTTAACCTGCTGTGTGCCACAATGCCAGCCCTTCAGCTAGTACTTGATTTCAGCCTGTGAGAGTCTGAAAAGACCCTGCCAAATTGTGCACAACTGCTTACCCAAAGAAACTATCAGATAATACATAGGCATCATTTGAGCCACTACATTTGCAGTAATATTGCTACAAAGCAATAGACAACCAGACAAGCAAACTGAAGATGAGAAAAATAGCCCCTGTTATCTGAGAGCTCACCTGGTAGAAGGCCCTAATGAGCTGGGAGCTGGCCTGCATCCATAATTAGGCCTTGGTGTTAAGTCTAAAGAGATTTCAAAAAATATCAATGACAGGTAAGTTTACCTGTATCTGACTGTGACCAAGGATCAAGGTAAAAATATGACCACTCTGTAATCATGTCTAAACATGGACAAAACCACATTGTCCAAATCATAGAAAACACCAAACATTCCCTATACTCACTATTATACACACAAACTTTAGCCCTGATTCATTCCCACTGTCCCCTCCCTGCCATGTCTTATAGATAAGATTAAGGTATCCATTCACAGACTCAACCCTCCTCACACATCCAATACAGAGCAGAGCCCCACTTTCTTGAACCCTCCTCAGTGTCACCAAATCCAAATCCAAATCCAAGTCCTTCCTAGGAACCTTTTCCTGAGAGGGTCTGCCAATTCCTCTGGCTTTGTGCTCACCCTCACCACAACCAGCAACAAAGCCAAGCTGTTCAACTACAGGTGCATTCCCCAGGGTACACAACTAGGTTTTCGGCTGGAGGGCACATAGAAAACAGGAACAAGCAAACAAAATCAAGAAAATAACAAAAACAGTAAAATGATTTTATCATGAAAGTTTTACACAGAAATGGAAGCATAAACCAATAAACAATGAGTCCATATGCAGTTTAAATCATAAGAAAGCATCTCAAAATGAGTATAAGTTATTTGATAAGTGGCAACAGGAATGAGAAAACTGAAAACTGATAAGACTCACACTTCAGACTGAATAAAAATGAACTCTATATAGGCTAAATAATTAAATATTAATAAAAAAATAGCTGAAATATAATGGACTACTTGATCAGACCATGGAAAAACAATGAAATTCTCATATGAAAACAATAAGAAAGAAAAAAAGATGGACCAACTTAGATACAAATCTTTTACATGTAATGAAAAAAAAATGAACTACCCAAGAAATCCTGGCATCTCAGTGGAAAATATCTAAATACAGAATGTTGGCTTGATTTACAAGAAAAAATAATCACATGTCTGAAGTATAAGAGTAAAGTCTGTAACAGAGAAATCCCAGGAGAAAATGGAGTAAACAGAAAAATGGAATTATCTTTAATCCTCTCAGTGGTCTAAAGAGGTACAGTCCAAACAGGTATAGTCACTACAGCAGTAAATTAGATAACAATCAAAGCTTGAAATTTTGGGCCATGCTAGAAGCTCTTTCACCACTAATAGCATTATTTTATTTGAAAGATGCACACGTGTGCATGTGTACACATACACACACACACGGAGACCTCCCACACGCTAGTTTACTCCCCAGAAGCCCACAACAGCAGAGCCCATAGTTGTGCCAGGGTGAAGCCAGAACTGAGAACTCAATCCGAGTCTCCCATGTGGATGGCAGGGACCCAATTACTTGAGCCATCACCTGCTGCCTCCCAGGACATGCATTAGTAGGAAGTTGGAAACACGAGTGGGGCTCAGAAGCAAACCTAAGCACTCCAATATGGGATGCAGGCAACCCAAGTGGCACTTTAGCTACTGTGCAAATGACCACCTCACTGATAGTATTTTATATAATTATAACTTATCTGGAAAGCAATACAGAGAAGTTATAGTCCAGATATCAAACTCCTAGGAAACCTTCCACCAGAAATTATCTGCTAAGATTTTATAATATTATCTACAATGGCAAATAGTTAGAAATGGCTTAAAAGTTTACTATGGAAATGTTTAATGAATCACACTGTTTAACACAAAGATATTAATATAAATATGAAGGCCTGAAATATGGAAAAAGTTTAGGATGTGATGTGACCCAAAAAAGCCAACTAAAAAATGCCAACTATCAAAATACAAATAAAGGCTAAAGAGCTATAATGTGCCAGGCACTTTTTGAGGCATTTTGGCCATATCTTAATTAGTTTTTTAAACGCCCTGCCAGTAAAGTAATATTATCCCCACTTTGTAATAAGGATACCAGAGCAAAGACAGATTAAATAACCAGCATGATCACAGAGCTAGGGAGCAGAGGAGATAGATGTCAGCTAAGAGACAACTCCAAAAGTTGTGGGTCTAACCCTTGCACTGGCCTACTTCTTTTAGGCAACTATTAGGTTTGCAACTATAAATATCTGGGGATAGACTGTAAGATAATATGTGAGTATACTATAACTGTTATGTAGAAATGAATTTAAAGATAGTTTAATTTTAAGCCACCAACTTTAACACTACATAATTTACTCAATGAAAACAACCCAGACAATCAAGCACTGAATGACAGACCTGAAATTCTCCATGAGAAGTTAAACTATACATGTCTTTGGAAAGAGGCTTGGCCTTACTTCCTGTTAAAATTCTAATTTCACTCTTTTCTGGAAGAATGGAATGGAGGTGTAAGACTAGTCCAGATTAGGCTCCACACTGTAGCCATCAGAATTGGGTGGAGGTCAGTATGAAGGGATGATAAAGGGAAAGCTCATGAGCTAAAGAGATAAAGCCATCGAAGGGGGACATGCAGAATGCAGTATCAGGACTCCCAGGCTGGGTGAGGGCTGGTTTGCCCTCTTATTCAGGGTACCTCTTTGTTGAATAATCTAAGTTTCTATCTGTTTACAATGGGCAAGCCTGGAAAAACAAAACAAAACAAAACAAAACACAGAGACCCTGTAAAAACGGCAGTGCATACCCAGGGTCATCTTTTTTCGAACAAGTGGATTCAGCAGCACTGTGTGGCAACGTAAGGGCTGGGACAGATGCACATGCTTTGCCATTCAGGTGTGTGCGCTGTAGAGAACCAAGACTCTGTCTTTTCCAAGCAGTAAATTAATCTGTCTTCCCACAACTGCATTTTCAAGTCTTTCCAGTTTACTTGCACTTTTAGAATAACTCAATTTCTTTTCTGCTCAACCCTCAAATGCTATTTTGATTAGTGTCACCATTCTCAGGTGGTAAATGGGAAGAGTGGGCCCTTTGGATTCCGTGAGATGTGTGAATTTGAGAGCCCATGCTGCATGCTGAGAAATATTTCCCAGGGAAGTGGTGGTGATGGTGGGGAGATAAAGGAACCCCTAGATATGTATGAGGACAGGAGACCCTGGAGTAGTGGAGGGTGGCAACCTGCTGTGTTTGCAGATCACCCCCTCCGGATTCCAGGTGTCATTCTCTCCCTGACTGTGGCACTCCTGCAATCATTTCACAATACTGCACAGACAGTCAGGGCAGAACTAATCTGTCATCAAGGCTTCTGAGAACAGTAAAGCTGGAAGCTTCCACAGACATCACATTTTAAGGGAGCAGACTGAGTACAGCTGGGGAAAGAGGGATGTGAAACAATGCCCTGTAAATCTGATTTAACTGGTAGTACATCTCAGCCAGACTGGAATCCGTTACGTACAAAATGATTAATCACTGCCTCCTGGAAATATTCAAGGTCCTCTTGCCTATCTTAGGATGGACGGGGAAAAAAATCTAATGCTGAAATATGATTTTCAGACTTTTGTTCCTTCTACACTCTTTTAATAAAGTAGAATAAAAAATTCTGCGTTAGGCTTGGCTGAGTTATGGGGTTTACTGCCTAAGTGGCAAAGAACTCCATTCCTCAGTCCAATTGCGGAAGACAGCCTGAGTTATAAGCCTGAGAGAAGGAAAAATGCCTGTGCAACACCTCAGGCATCAAAGTATCAAATGTGATAACTGCTTCTGTCTCTGTGTGGTAGCCAGTGCATATGCTGTTGACTTACATGGCTGATGAATTATAAGCAGTCCCATCACTACTAGAGGAAGAGGGTAAGCAGTAAGAGAACAAAGCCTCAGGGCATTCCTTGAGGCACAGACTGGTGTAAGGGGGTACCTACCTTCTCCGCATATTCAGACACAATCTGCTTGATCTCGGCAGAGCAGAGGCCCACAATCTGGCCCACGGAGCTTGCGGTGAGACGGCTCTGCAGTGACATGGAAAGTACCTTCTTAAGGCCTTGTCTTTCACAGAACTAGAAAAGCTGAACACACTGAGCTTTATCACAAAATGGACAACATTCTCAGGGAAAAACAGTATTTGGCCTCTGCCCACATTTTCACTGACAAGGGAGAAACAAGCCTTAGGACAAATGCCTTAACCTGCTCCCTTCCAAGTCACTCCCCTGACTGTGCTAGATGCTCCCAAAGCCTGCCAGTTCCTGGCAAACCATTCTTCACTGTCAGGGCCCCACCTCTAGGACTCTCCTCTTAAGTGTCACTAAGGAGAGCCCACAGAGGGATAAGAGAGCAAAAGAGAGACAGTCAGGAATCCAGAAACCCCTGACATATATCTTGATTGCCTGGGCCTTTGCTAGCTTCAAAAGGAACAATCCCTTCACCACAGGTGGCTAAACCACTGTACAGGCCTTGAGCTGTGGAATGAGCAACCACAAACACAGTATTCCACTTTCCACCTAGATGGTGTGGAAAGGAAGCAGGAGACACAGGCTCCTTTGGCATAGAGTGTAACGTGGATCTAGAGGCAGGACTGATCCTGGCTCTTCCGCAGAAGGCCTAGAAGCCATCTCAGAAGGAAGGCCTTGCTCCTAGAAGTCCCCATGGACAGCAATACCATATACTTTTTTTTTTTTTTTTTTTGACAGGCAGAGTGGACAGTGAGAGAGAGAGACAGAGAGAAAGGTCTTCCTTTGCCGTTGGTTCACCCTCCAATGGCCGCCGCGGCCGGCGCGCTGCGGCCGGTGCACCGCGCTGGTCCGATGGCAGGAGCCAGGAGCCAGGTGCTTTTCCTGGTCTCCCATGCGGGTGCAGGCCCAAGCACCTGGGCCATCCTCCACTGCACTCCCTGGCCACAGCAGAGAGCTGGCCTGGAAGAGGGGCAACCGGGACAGAATCCGGCGCCCCGACCGGGACTAGAACCCAGTGTGCCGGTGCCGCTAGGCGGAGGATTAGCCTAGTGAGCCGCGGCGCTGGCGGAGCAATACCATATACTTTCAAAAGCTTCCTGGAGGAAGACCCTGAGGAGCAGGAGCACCAAGTGCTGAGCACAGAGCAGGCTGCAGAATGTGGGCCTTCTGGTAGGAGGCTCCCTGAGAGCAGAGCCAGGTGGTGCTGGTGTCAAGACCCTCCCCTTCCCCTCCCCAGGGGCTGCTCTCTCACCTCTTCATTTGCCATGGCAGTCATTGTGGTCATCAGTGACTGGATACGCTGCTGAAAGAGGAATAGGGAGAGGCAGCAGTGAGCATTCTGACCACAGCACTGGAACAGTGTGCATACAAGGACCTCAGGGGTGAAATCCAAGGGTTAATTTCCCTTGATGTTATTTTACCATAGGTTATGAAAAGAAATTGGAAGGTGTGAAAGGCCAGCTCAAAGCAGCCAGCTATGGGAGGCGCTGGTTCTGTGGATGAGAGTCAAATCCCCTCTTCCCCCTCAACCACCAAATGACTTAAACGGAAACCTCAGATAGCCTCTATCGACCATGCACCTCTTCAGCTGCTCGAAGCTCATCCTCCTCATGGGCATCTGCTTTCTCTGTAGCTGACAGACTTGCAGGAAGTGTGGGTTTCTTGTCCTCTGCCTGGAAAGGAAGATGTGAAAACAGCTTAGCATTGAAGTAAGAGCCTCAGGACAGAAAGAACCACATACAATGAGGCACAATTGTGAATGAAAACACACAAACACACAGCTGGAGTTGCACCAGCCCAAAAGAGATTGGACCATTTGGAGGCCTGAGCCTCGAGCTGGTCCATCCTCTCACTGGTGAATGCCTGCATCCATTTCCAAACTGCTCACCGATTAAATCAACAGTATCGTTTGCCAAACTTATCCTCATGTTCTAAGAGGGCCTTTCCTCTGCTTTAACACTTTCAAGAGCAGATCACTGCTAGGGGAGTATTTCTTCAAACTGCCAGCCAAGACGCATTAGTGGGGCATAAAAGCATTTTAGCAAGTATGACTAGTGTCTATATAAATAAAAAGAACAGAACATGACAAAGTGCTTTGTAGGTAGTAAAAGGTTAGTTACTGCTTAGTGAAATCTTTGTTTTCGGGATGTATATACTGAATCATCATGGAAAACGAAATTTTTACTGCTGAGAGTGATAAGGAAAAAAGCTTGAAAACCACGGTCTGAAGAATAAAAATGTAAACTGCTTCATCTGGTGATCAAGATGCATGCCTGGAACCAACTTCAGGTTCTAAATGTACCACACCATTCATGCAGATTAGTCTTCCTCAAACACAGGTTGAAAGTCTAGAGTTTTTAAAAATAATTTTTGTTTAACTGAAAGGCAGAGAGACAAACATGCATCTAAAGACACAACAACAGACAGACACATGCATGCAGCCGTGGGGAAAAGGGAGAGATAACTCCTCATCCACTGATTCACTCCCCAAATGCCTGCAACAGTCAAGACTGGATCAGACTAAAGTCAAGAGCTGTGAACCCAACCTGGGTCTCTTACATAGGAGGCAGGGACCCAAGTACTTGAGCCATCATCTGAGGCTTCCCAGGATATGAATTAGCAGGAAGTTGGAATCAGAAGCAGAACTGGGATTTAAATTCAGGTACTCTGACATGGGATGTGGGCATTCCAAACTCTGTCTTTACTCTCAGGTGCCCTTTTTGAATCATCCCAACTCTAGGATACTTTTTTATAACCAGTCTCCCATTGCCCATGAGAACATCCTCAGTCCTTAACTGCCTAGACATGGCTACAGGGGATAAGCCTTTCAATTCAAATGTGCCATCGGACATGAGAATGACAAGACAAACCCAACTGGAATACTATCTCATGAACATCTCATGATTTTCCAGCCATAATCCAAATACCTTATTTCAGAATGCAGTCACATACACATTATCTTCAGACAAATTACGTATCAAATTAAATGTATATATCAAACTCTTACTATAAACCAGATGACACGTGACATACTCAAATCTAGAAAATACCCTGCTCCAGAGGAAATGATTATGTAGTTGAATGACAATACAAATCTGAAAAAAATGAGCAAACCAAAAAAGAAGATATCATAATCAGTGTGTGACTAATTGCCAATGAACTAGTAATGATAGTAGCTCTTATTAAATGTTTACATTGTGTTTGCTAATTCTAAATCATTTACATTTTGGTTTTCATAAAAATGCTGTGAATTAGGTACAATGAATGCCCCTATTTAATAGATGCTGTGAAGCAGAATACAACAATTAAATCAAGGAGAGGAATGAGGATCTAAAACTAGTCAGTTCAGCTTTAGAACATGACTGTGGTCACCCTGGTTGGCCACCAAAGATGGAGACAATCACCACAGGAAGCAGAGGAAGGCTGTGTAGCAGGAAAAGCAGAGGGGAGCAGAGAACAGCAGGAAGGTGTCCTGTTTAAGGAAATCTGGGGGTCGGGTGGGAGTGAGAGAAGCAATTATGAACAGATCTTAAGCTGCAAGACTCTATTTCTTAAGAGACCAATGACCACTGTAGCTGGAACTGGACTGTTTAGAATGAGGGGTTATGAGCACAGACTTTGCAATCAGGACGAAGTGGATTCAGATTCTTATCATGACTCTTTAGGGCTATGTGACCTTAGAAAAATCACTGAGACTCTTCGATCATCAGTTTTCTGACCTGAAAAGCAGGAATAAGTACACTTCACATAGACCTGTTAGGGGAATAAGTGAAAAATATATGTAGAACCCTTAATCAAAGGCCTGGAACATAGTAAAGGTCTGGCACTCTAAGATTTATGTGTCTACCCTACTGCCAACAATTAAGATCAACAAACACAAAAATTAACAGAACTCAAACTCCTTTGTGATGTTAGAGAACCTCATCCTGACTCACCTGGTTCTTCCACACTCAGCACACAGGCCTGTAAGAAACAACTGTGTTCTATCTTGTTGCCTAGCAACCTGGGCACACACTGTCTACAGTCTCTTCCACCAGATTAGGCATGCTCTGTGAGCCCTAAGAGTGGACTTAACCTTCACACTTTCTGAACTACGAGGTGGCCTCAGCAGATCCTGGTGGCATGACTTTGAGTGACCATTTACGTCTTGCCCCAAAATGAGTTGCCACTTTGGCTCCCAGTCTGCAGAGGCAGCTGGATGGAGATGCAGGGACCTGGCACGCATCCCTCTCACACAGGCTTGCCTAGCGACCAGGGCCTGGTCAGCGTCAAGCCTGACATCCCACTCCCCCTGGGCTTCCAAGGGAGTTGCTGCCCAGCTTGTCAAGGTCCAACAATGTAGACATGGGGAAAGTTTGCTCCCATCTTTCAATTTCAAGTATTCTCTCCCATTATCTATGCTTTTCTTACCTTCTCTGTTTTGCTTTGGCGGCTAAATCCATATCTCCTGCAGGACACAAAAAAAGGAAAATTCAATCATCTTCAAAAACCACAATAAATTCAATCAAATGAATTTTGGTTGGATTTTTCTACAAAAGTTACCAAAGACAATTTAGGCTACCTGGTGATTAGAGAAAATGTTACAAGTGCCTAACCACACACATAATCCATTGTTTTTCCAACTAAATGGCTAGCCATTCCATTTGCTATATGAACCTCAGATAGTATAGAGTAGAACATTTTCCTTAAGTGTAATCATTACTTCTTTGAACCAGGAACTGTATTCTAAAGCCACAGTTAAGAGCCTTAAAAATACTGGCATAAACAAATGTGAAAATGTTTGTTCAAGCAGAACATGCTCTCTAGTGGCCATTTTAATAATTTTGAGTCCAGCACAATTTTTATTCTCAAACACAACCCAAGCATGATGTCAATAATTCTGCACACTTATTACAAGCAACCTGAACTTCAAAGAAACACACAAACACGCTTAAGTTTAAATTAGCTTATTTTCTGGCTCAAATTAATTTATGCTTTAATAAAAAGTAAGTAAACAATACAAAAACCATTCAGCCTAAAACAAAAAGCATAATGCAATACATGCAGCTTCACCTACCTTCAAGTGGTTTGTAAGGAAATAATGTTACATGCAACCCTTTAAGAAAAACAAATGAAGGGCTTCGCTGTGCTCCAGCTCACACAGTGCCTTACTGCCGGGGCAGTGTGCTGCCTCCATGGCTCTGGGGCCTCTGGCCTCACTCCCCTCCCACTCTTCTTGTTCATTCCTTATCCAACTTCTCACTGGCCTGATCTGCATTTATCAATATAGCCTCTCCCTCCAAAGAAGGCAGGACTTCTTCCACAGCAGCTTCGTTAAGGCTTCTCTACTATGGTCTTGCTCAGCAGCTATTTAGCCTCATCTATAGCAGCTCAACTTACAGACTTACTTCCCTGAATGAATAGAGCACTTTGCACACACTGAGCAGCCCACCCCCACACCCCCTGCCTCCCAGCTCTAAAGCTGCCTCCTCTCTGAAGCACACATGTGTGGCCCTGGGCTGTCCATCTCTGCATCTTGTTCCTCTTGTTTACCAGATGGTAATTAGGTTCAACTGTCTGGTTGTTGGTCAGTATCCTTCTCCTTGAGGGCAATAAATCAATAAATCCTTTTTTTTTTTTTTTTACAGGCAGAGTGGACAGTGAGAGAGAGAGACAGAGAGAAAGGTCTTCCTTTGCCGTTGGTTCACCTCCAATGGCCACCGCGGCCGGTGTGCTGTGGCCGGCGCACCGCGCTGATCCGATGGCAGGAGCCAGGTGCTTCTCCTGGTCTCCCATGGGGTGCAGGGCCCAAGCACTTGGACCATCCTCCACTGCACTCCCTGGTCACAGCAGAGAGCTGGCCTGGAAGAGGGGCAACCAGGACAGAATCCGGCGCCCCGACCGGGACTAGAACCCGGTGTGCCGGCGCCACAAGGCGGAGGATTAGCCTAGTGAGCCGCGGTGCCCGTGAGGGCAATAATTCTTTTTATTTTTTACTTTTATTTAATGAATATAAATTTCCAAAGTACAGCTTATGGGTTACAATGGCTTCCCCCCCCCCATAACGTCTCTCCCACCCCCAACCCTCCCCTTTCCCACTCCCTCTCCCCTTCCATTCACATCAAGATTCATTTTCGATTCTCTTTATATACAGAAGATCAGTTTAGCATACATTAAGTAAAGATTTCAACAGTTTGCTCCCACACAGAAAGATAAAGTGAAAAATACTGTTTGAGTACTAGTTATAGCATTAAATCTCAATGTACAGCACATTAAGGACAAAGATCCTACATGAGGATACTACATGCACAGTGACTCCTGTTGTTGACTTAACAAATTGACACTCTTGTTTATGGCATCAGTAATCACCCTAGGCTCTTGTCATGAGCTGCCAAGGCTATAAAAGCCCCCTGAGTTCACCGACTCTGATCGTATATTTAGACAAGGCCATGGTCAAAGTGGAAGTTCTCTCCTCCCTTCAGAGAAAGTACCTCCTTCTTTGATGACCTGTTCTTTCCACTGGGATCTCACTCACAGAGATCTTTCGTTTAGGTTTTGTTTTGTTGTTTTTTGTTTGTTTGTTTGTTTTTGCCAGAGTGTCTTGGCTTTCCATGCCTAAAATACTCTCATGGGCTTTTCAGCTGGATCCGCATGCCTTAAGGGCTGATTCTGAGGCCAGAGTGCTGTTTAGGACATCGGCCATTCTATGGGTCTGCTGTGTATCTCACTTCCCATGTTGGATCATTCTCTCCCTTTTTTATTCTATCAGCTAGTATTTGCAGACACTATTCTTGTTTATGTGATCCCTTTGGTTCTTAGTCCTATCATTATGATCAATTGTGAACAGAAATTGATCACTGGGACTAGTGAGATGGCATTGGTACATGCCACCTTGATGGGATTGAATTTGAATCCCCTGGTATGTTTCTAACTCTACCGTTTGAGGTAAGTCAGCTTGAGCATGTCCCGAATTGCACATCTCTTCCCTTTCTTATTCCCACTCTTACATTTAACAGCAATCACTTTTCAGTTAAGTTTCAGCACTTAAGAAGAATTGTGTATTGATTACAGTATTCAAACAAAAGTATTAAGAAGAACAAACAAACAAAAAAATACTAAGAGGTATAATATATTAAGTTGCTCATCAACAGTCAGGGTGTGGGCTGATCAAGTCACCGTTTCTCCTAGTGTTCATTTCACTTTAACAGGTTTCCTTTTTGGTGCTCAGTTAGTTGTCACCTATCAGGGAGAACAAGTGGTATTTGTCCCTTTGGGATTGGCTTATTTCACTCAGCATAATGTTTTCCAAATTCCTAACAGGGATCACTTTTCAGTTAAAATTTAAACACCTAAGAATAATTGTGTGTTAATGACAGAGTTCAATCAATGGTACTAGAACAAAAAAAAAATACTAAAATGGATAAAGTATTACATTGTACATCAACCGTCAGGACAAGAGCTGATCAAGTCACTGTTTCTCATAGTGTCCATTTTGTATTTCCAATGTTCGCTGAGTGATACACTACACATAAGTGAAAAATTGCAAAACTCAATGACTCAAAAGTATTGCCTGGGGGATGGTGTTGTGGCATAGATGGTTAAGCACCGCCTACAGACTGGCATCCCATATGGGCACCAATTCGAGTCCTGGCTGCTCCACTTCTGATACAACTCCCTGCTAATGCACCTGAGTAAGCAATGGATGACTGCCCAAAGTGCTTGGGACTGTACCACCTTTTGGGAGATCCAGAAGAAGCTCTGGTCTCTTGGCTTTAACCTGGCCCAGCCCCAGCCATTGCAGACATCTGGGGAGAGAACCAGCAGATGGAAGACTTCTTCCTCTCTCTCTCTGTAACTCTGACTTTCAAATAAAATAAAATAAAAAAAGAAGAAAAAGAAGAAATATTGCCTGGCTTTGTAAAAGCTTGTCATGAAACTGGAGAAACCGAGAAGTCACTGCTGGGCAGTGTGCCCATCCCTTAGGCATACATCCACTGGCCTAAAAGTGTGGCAGACTTAGTTCAAGGTTAAATTCTGGGTCTCCACACAAATTTTACAAAGGACCTTATGGCAGATTCTGTGTATTTATTTAATCACTATTCATCCACCTATATTGCAGAGGGTAGAAAATTAAGACCCTATTCCTCACACTCCTTTGCACCTAGGCTCCTGAGGGCTACTTTCTACCAATCAGATACATTTGCTGCAGTTTTGAATGTGAAACAGTTAAGGGAGGAGAGGAGGAGGACACAAAGGATCTATTGTGTTTGTGGGGAATCAAAGTAGGAACAGCCTGGCTCTAGGGCAACCAGCTGTCACAGTGGCTTCCTGGCTTTACAGAAAGGGCTTCCCAATTTTGGCAGAAGCAGTGTGGTTCCCTCATCAGCAGCTATAGCCATCAGCTTTCCAATTCCCTAAGCTGCTAGCTAGCTTCCTGATTGTGGCAGCAAAGCCATCATCCTTGGCCCAGTTCTAATGTAGGGTTTAGAAGCCAACTCTGTTTCCAGTTTCTATAGATCCCTGTAATCGATGCCTTCTGCTGAAACTAGTGGGAGGACACTGTGTTCTCAACCAGGGAACAATGCATGGTCTTGTCAAAGTTTCCCACTCCCAGAGCATCCCTGCTTCTGGAGTATTCTTTCCTTTTCTATGCCTTTATCTGTACAGACCCTTAGCAAAAGACATACCCTTGGGCAGACTGCCCTTATCTAAGGCCCAGAGACCTTGACAGAAAGTAAGCAACTAAATTTGAGTGAATCAATCCCAGATCCCATCTACTCCTTAAAGATACAGGCTCTGTGAAGACTTTTTTTTTTTTTAATTAACTTATTTATTTGAAAGTCAGAGTTATAGAAAAAGAGGCAGAGACACAGAGAGATCTTTCATCTGCCGGTTCACTCCCCAAATGGCCACAATGGCAAGGGCTAAGCCAGGCCAAAGCCAGGAGCCAGGAGCCAGGAGCTTCATCCTAATCTCCCACATAGGTAGCAGCATCCCAAGCACTTGGACCATCTTCTTCTGCTTTCCTAAGTGCATTAGCAAGGAGCTGGATTGGAGGCGGAACATCTGAGACTTAAACTGGTACCCTTGCGGGATTCCAGCATCGTAGGTGGCAGCTTTACTTTCTATGCCACAATGCCAGCCCCAGGGAGACTCTTTCTGATCATGCAAAACTAAGTTAAGCCCTCCAACTCTGTGCTTCTGTGTTTATATGACCAGTGCACTCATTGGTTGGTATACACTAATTACTTGTCATGCACAAACCTCCAAGCCCGTCTGTTGAGCTCCTGGAGGGAGGATGAACACTTTTAGTTCTAACATTTTTAAAAACTGAGATATAACATAAGTGTAAGCTTTAGTGGCTTTTAGGTATTCATTACGTGTGTTGTGTAATCATCACCAGTATCTAAATCCAAAATAGCTCCACCACCTCAAGAAAGAAATTTCAGAGCTATTAGCAGTTAGCAGTTAGTTCCAATTCCCCTCTCCTTTCCATAGCCCCTTGCTACCACTAATGTACTTTCTGGCTCTATGGGCTTGCCTATTTTATGTAAGTGAAATTGTTCACTATGCAGTCTTTTGTGTCTGCTTCTTTTATTGAGCGTATTTTCCAGGTTCATCCATATTGTGACATAAATCAGGACTGCATTCCTTTTTATAGCTAAAAAATTATCCTACTGCTTCGGAAAAATCATGTTTTATCAATTCATCAGTTGAATTGAGGGCTCTTTCTACTTTTTGGCTATTATGCTTAATGCTGCTATGAACCTTTACGTCCAGTTTCATTCACTTCTGTATCAATACTGCTCTGACATGCAATGCCCCATGCCCTGATGTGTTCTGCTTTCCCCTTTTGTAGCCTGACTCACCAACTCTGTACTGCCAGCACCAACAGCACTCTAGCCCCCTCTTCATTCAGTTCACTTTCTCATACCCTAGGCCAGGCACTCAGTCTTTAAATCAAGAATATACATCTCCAACAAGAGGACACTCCAAAATACAATGAGAACTGCACATAATATTTTAATTAAAAGATTCACATACCCAAGTTATTCCAAACATACTTAAACATTTTACAATAACTAAATCAAGTACACGTTTTTAAATTTAAATTTAAAAATTAAAACTTGGTTTCAGGGCCACAGCAGCCACATTTCAATTGCTCAATAGCTACGTATACCTAGTGTCTATCATACTGGAAATCACAGTTCTAGAAAACTAACCTTTAAGAACAAGTGCCCCAGGAAAAATTCAATTATCTAACTATGTGGAATCCAGAACAAAACAGAGGCATAAAGATTTAAATACCAAGGACTGTGAACTCTGTTCATTACACTCAAATTTACTAAATACCTCCAAGAACATGTCATAGGCTTTTCATCACATGGGACACAACCAGATTGAGAGACACACAATATACGCCTTCCAAACTACAGAACAACTTCAAGGCAACTCAAAATTAAGTCTCTATTTACTGTGGAATAGGCCAATAGCAGCATTCTAGTGGATGTGCTCCAAAATTCCATTTGAAGTAATATACACAGCATATAAAATGCATTTACCCACAGTAGCAGTTTTATAGCATAGGTAAGTGTTAAAGTTAGCCTTTAAAAGTAGATTGGACCCAAATTAAAATGATACAGGGTTGCAATTCTGTTTAAGTGTTAATTCAAAACTATGAGTCATGTTTTTCCAAATCATAATACTTAGAAAAATATATCCAAACATGTTTTTAGCAGATAGCTAGCCTTTAAGGCCTTCAGCTGTCTGGACTCAAAAATCCAGCTCTAATTAAGCAACTGAGAATCAATAAGCTGACCTCACAGCAGAGGGCATTAACCCTGGTTAGTGATCTCTGACTTCAAAGAAACAAATTTTTTAGACTTTATTGCTCTAGAAGTCAAAATACCACCCTCTTTCCCATCAAGAGGTGAGACGAAGTGGAAAACAGATGCTGACAATAGATGGGGGAATGCAGACTCCTAAAGCTGTGATGCCATGGGGGTGGGAAGCAAAAGTCTTCCAGAGTAAATAACTACCACGATGAGGAGAGAGAGGGGACAGAGAACTGGCAGAGGGCCAGCCTTGCTGAACTCAGGAGGGAAGGAAGACGGGGTGAGCCTTCTCATGCATGTGCTCCTGCATGTGTACACAGGGACAAGGAGAACTGGAAGGGGAGGCTCAGGATGGAACCCCAATTAGAACCTTAAAGTCATATTCAAAGGCATTTGAGAGCTGAAAATTCTGCTGCTATTGCTGATGATAATGACAGTAAAGACAACCACAATAACAGCTGATAGTTAACATTTCCCGAATGCTTTCTACCTGGGACAAACTGTTCAAAATTCTTTACATATGTATCACTACATAATCCTCATTTAGTGGGAAAGACCTCCATGCAGTGGAGAACACTGAACAGAGCACAAAGGAAAGAGCCAGACAGCCAGAAAGGAGGGGAAGGGCCCAAAACACACACTGGTTGAGACTTTAGGTTTTACCTAATTTGCTCTGTCAGTTTTAATAACCACTGTCTTCTTATTTAATCTCAGATCAAACAACAAAGACAAGGACTTTCTTTCTAAAACTAAGAGCCTAAAAATCCACTCTCTCCAGAAACTCAAACAATGCAGACAGTATAATGACATGCTTCATGAGACCTGAATTCAAGTCCCAGTTTGAGCCTCTTATTAGTTCTATGATCTTGGGCAACTCAACACTATCATTACTATTCTTAAAGAGGAGAATGAACTAAATAAACCAGCAGAAAACCCTAAATATTCACTGTCCCACCTCTCACAAACTCACCCTCTCCTGGTCAGAAAAGCCACAAAGAGAACAAAATAACCCTTCTCCTAAGACAAAACAAAACAAAAACAACAAAAAGCTAAAACCATCAGTCATATCTACTAGCATGACCCCCACAAGCTGGAAGAAAGACTGGTATTATGATCCTCTGCTCTCTCTCACAGGCAGAATTTGAAAACAGTTTCAAACAAAACCTGTCTTTTTATATTGTGGCCTCCAACTGCAACAGGCACACCCGAGGAGGGGCAGGTATGTTCTGAAGCTGCTCAGCCTTCATGTGATGAAAGTGATGATCACTTAACAATACAACTGAAACTGAGAGTGATCGAAAAAAAGTCCTGAGATACCATGAACATGATCTCAGTGAGGCTAGCAATTTACTGCATCTCTAACTCTTTTCATCTCCAGAAACATTTGATTTTCCATGAAAATGGAAAAAATGGAGGCATGAACAGTACAAATTAAAACCTGTAACATTCCCCTAAGTACTCTCTGGCTATGGGACATTTGACATTCAGAGCTATCCAGCTTCCCCTGCCCACTTGAGGATGGGGCTTGGAAAAGACCCCACCCCCCAACACCACCATGGTACCTGAGGCTGGCTTCATGATCATGTGACCTGTTCAGCTGCACAGGGTCCTACACTCAGTAGAGTTCTGCATTTGATTGTTGTTGATGTCTTGACATTCTTAGTAATTAACTGTCACTAATAATTCTTAAGAAGGGGCCTTGTATTTTCATTTATACTGGGCCCAGTAAATTAGGTAGCTTGTCCTGGTGGTATGTGACTCAGAGGAGATATTCAATTCATGGCAGCAGTTGGTAAGTTGTAGTGGCAGCCATCACAAACTAGGGGCCAGAACTAATTCAATTTCCTTTGAAACAGACTAGTTTTTATTCTTAGGAAGGAAAGACTTGACCCCACTCTATCACCAAAAGAAAAATGCAATTGCCTTTCCTTTGAAAGCTACAATAATGAAAATCTAATTTCCTTCTGATTCTCCCCAGTACTGTAGAAGGAGAAGACATCAGATGCTCACTCAGGGAGATGCTAACAACAGAGCAGTTAGTTCCAGCCACCAAGGGTGGGGCTGTGAGATAGAGCAGCACACAAGAGCCTTCCCCAGCACAAAGGAAGGAAGCACAAGGGGTACTCACATGAAGGGATCAGTTACCCTAAAGTAGAAAATGCACAAAAGCCAAAGTTAATATCTGCTGTCAACTGAAACATTCCATGGAGAGAAGCACATTCTTGTGATTTTTTTAATGTAAAAGCTTGATATAAAATAAGATTTTTGGTTTTGTTTAAACTAGACATGCTTTTAAGCTAAGTATGTTTTTAAGATGTGACAAAAATTACTTATAAATTCTTCATTTTTCTAATCAAGACTTAATGTTCACAAGAAACTAAAATTATAATTCTAACAAAGTAAAACTGTTGAAACTGATTTCATTCTTTTGTTTACCTGAAGATTTTAACTTTTGTTAGAAGGGTCATGAGAGGCAGATCGGCCCCAGCTTCCGCTAATGTCCCAACCACCCAAATAGCCCAAGGAGGACAGGGCCAGGTGCACAGCTACACATACATTTCCAAAGAGGAACTGCAACGTCATATGACAACAGCTGATTCCACACCAGACAGGAAATCTGATGTTGGAAATTTCATGGCTGAAAACTGTAAACTCAATCAGGTAGAAGCCAATCAAGTCAATCCCACAGAAGCAATTTAAATTAGCGTTTAAGTGTTTTTATAAAACAGACACCTAGTTTGGGCCCAACTTATTACCTGCCATATTCCAACAGTGTAGCATGGATTCGAGATTCTTCATCAAGTAACTCCTCTGCTCCCTGTTGGCGTTTGTATTTCCGACGGGGCTTGTAAACATCCTGAGTGAAAAAGACAACCAGGTTACTGAGTGTGAGAAGATTCTTGTCCTTAACCAGCAGCTAAATGCTGCCAGCTGGTGAGGGGGAGTGCGCCTTCTCCCCATCAACTGCCCACGTGGCCAGGACATGCTGGAGGAGCACAGAGGGCAGCCAGGGTGGCTGCCTTCATGGACTGAAGACACAGAAGCCGATGTCTGAATGCTAAGGGTGAGAGATCATGACCTGAATCTCTGGGCTTCTGAGATGACTTTAAACCTGCACACCTGCCTTTGCTGAGAAATAGAAAAAGAAAAGGCCCTGACATGGTGGAAAGGGGGCTCAGTAACAACAGGTCAAGGTTCCTTTGCTTTTAATTTTTTAAAATTAAATGATAGGCATTCACTGAAAAGTTCAATTAATTTGTAAATGTTCAGAGTATCCACCTTGCAAAAAGACAGTGCTGTTAGTGTTGGCTGTGGTCCCTTCTCTGTTATTTTCACAGGTGAGGACAGCCACTGTCTTTCTGGCCAGTAAAAGTAATCAATGTCTAACAACAACTTCAGAGTAATATGGTACTCTCAGCTTCTCATTTAGCTCTCTACATATTAATTTGCTTTAAATTTTATAATTTAATAATACAAATAATACATGAAAATATTTCTGTTAACAGTTTCAAATGTTATGAGAGAGGCAGAATTTTAAGAAGTCTGTCCTCGGCAGGCGCCGCGGCTCACTATGCTAATCCTCCGCCTGCAGCACCAGTACTCTGGGTTCTAGTCCCAGTTGGGGCACTGTTTCTGTCCCGGTTGCCCCTCTTTCAGGCCAGCTCTCTACTGTGGCCTGGGAATGCAGTGGAGGATGGCCCAAGTGTTTGGGCCCTGCACCCGCATGGGATACCAGGAGGAAGCACCTTGCTCCTGGCATTGGATCAGTGCTGTGCGCCGGCCATGGCGGCCGTTTGGGTAGTGAACCAATGGAAGGAAGACCTTTCTGTCTCTCACTGTCTAACTCTGTCAAGAAAAAAAAAAAAAAAAAAGAAGAAGTCTGTCCTCACCCCATCTTTCTCCAGAGGTGTCTCTGTCAGTTTGATGAGTGTACATTCTTCCAAACCTTTGTCTGGTGTATATATATGCTACAGGTATGCAATACGCATACATTTAAAAACAAATAGTGTACGGGGTTTTTATTACATGAAAGAGTATATTCTAAACATTGTCTGACAGCTTTCTTTTTTCTTTAACAGTAAAGCACAGCTATTTCCATGAAATAAAGTTTCACAAAAATATATTCTCTTTAACTAAATGTAATAATCCTTAATACAAATGATTCCTATTTTATTTTATTTAGCCTTCAACCAAGATACACATAAATTATTTCCAAGTTCTTATTATAAATAATGCATAAATGTGGATAGCATATAACTTAGAAGTGAAATCACAAGACTGAAGGGTGTTTATGATACCAACCTGAACCAAAACAAACAAAAAAACTTTGCTGATTTATGTGTCCAGCAACTTGTTATTCACTCCTCCGGCAACAGTAAATAACAAGGGGGTACTAAGATGATGGAGAAGGGAGGGAGTTTGCTGCTTCAGTCTAGGGGAAGATAGTTTTAAAAAAGTGAGAAGAGCGCAGTCTCTGGGAAGAGTTAGGGAGAAAGCAGCAGAGGAAACTCTACGCAAATTGGAGGGACACAGTGGACCTACATGGAGGGCAAGGACACACACAACTCAGAACCCCAGGAGCCAAGAGTCTCTGCATCAGTGTTGGAGACTGAGGTGAGACCAGATTGCAGCAGCTCAAGCCACTGGTGAAAGCTTCAGGAAGAGCCTAGAGGGAATCCAGCTTGGAGCCCTGGTCGGGGGGGAGGGGTGCAGTGTACCTGCCAAAGTAAAGGAGAAAAAAGAAACAGGGTGGCACATTCTCTCTCCCTGATCACCCTGCAACAGAGTCCTACGACCAGCCAATAGAGAGCAGGCACCATTTTGGACATACCCAGCAATCAACCAACTGGAGCCTGCTGAGTCCAGTGGGGAGAACAGACAGGAGGCTGAGTGCTCATGACTGTGGGAGGCTTGTGTGCCAGGACTGTGAAAACACTGAGGCTGTGTGGGAGTCCCAGGGTATAGCTGGGACTTTGGGCAGTAACTGTGGGAGGCTCCACATCATCATGGCTCCCTGGTTACCTGGCAAGGGACATTGCTGGAGATTCTGAGCTTGCATTGAGGGCTGCCCAGATCCTCTGTGGGGTCCTTGTGGAGGAGCGGACGAATAGTATACCCACTGAGGCTAGCACCCAGGCACAGGTTTCCTTTGAAGAGAGAAGCTCAGCTGAGTCTACACCAGCAGACAAGAACAAACCTCCCTACTGATTAAAAAAAAAAAGAGAGAGAGAGAGAGATTTACCATGACAAACCTGTGTCACTTCAGACATCTCCTTCACCCTGGAGCACCAAACACAGCTCCTTGGCCACACCTACCATACTCCTCTAGATATTTCCTGAAAGCAGACACTCCACTAACCCACTCAGACATAATCTAAACTGACAGAATAAAAAAGGGAGAGAACAATCCAACATGGGAAGTGAGATACACAGCAGACCCATAGAATGGCCGATGTCCTAAACAGCACTCTGGCCTCAGAATCAGCCCTCAAGGCATTCGGATATGGCTGAAGAGCCCATGAGAGTATTTTAGGCATGGAAAGCCAAGACACTCTGGGAAAAAGAAAAAATGACCTAAACGAAAGATCTCTGCAAATGAGATCCTAGTGGAAAAAACAGGTCATTAAAGAAGGAGGTACCTTGCTCTGAAGGGAGGAGAGAACTTCCACTTTGACTATGACCTTGTCTAAATATATGATCAGAGTCGGCGAACTCAAAGGCCTCCATAGCCTTGGCAACTCATGACAAGAGCCTAGGGTGATTACTGATGCCATAAACAAGAGTGTCAATTTGTTAAGTCAACAACAGGAGTCACTGTGCACTTACTCCTCATGTAGGATCTCTGTCCTTAATGTGCTGTACATTGTGATTTAATGCTATAACTAGTATTCAAACAGTATTTTACACTTTGTGTTTCTGTGTGGGTGCAAACTGTTGAAATCTTTGCTTAATATATGCTAAATTGATCTTCTGTATATATATAAAGAGAATTGAAAATGAATCTTGATGTGAATAGAAGGGGAGAGGGTACGGGACAGGGGAGGGAAGTTATGGGGGGGGGGAAAGCCATTGTAATCCATAAGCTGTACTTTGGAAATTTATATTCATTAAATAAAAGTTTAAAAAGAAACAAGTATTACCTCTTCCTCAATTCTTTTTGCTTTATGATTCTCCATCTTGCCTCTACTGTTATTTTCCTACTTTCCTGGCTATTCTTACACATTTTGTCCTTCAAATGAATTTTACTATCAGCTTTTCAAGTTCACTGTGAAATACTCTATTTGGTTTTTATTAGGATCACAACAAACTGCCAAGAGCCAAGAATTCCATCCAAGTCTCTCACATGGCTGGCAGGAACCCAAGCACTTGGGCCATCATCTGTTGCCTTCTCAGATGCAATAGCAGGAAGCCAGATAGGAATAGAGTAGCCAGGACTTGGATCAGTACCCCAGTATGGGATGCTGATATCAGAACTGGGACCTTAATCTGTTGTTGTACAATGTCAACCCCTATAATAATGTACTCCTACCTCAAGAAGAAAGGTTTGTCTATCTACTGAAGTCTTTTTTTATTCTTGAATACAAGCTTTCAAGTAGATAGTCACTACATAAGCAGAACTATCTAACACCCAGGGCCACAAAGGACTTCATCAATCACAGATACAAATTTGTCAGAGACACATGATTTTTAAACTAAAGTGTATTGAGGTTTATCCTCAACATAATTTATAAAAACATAAAATACACTAGTACCTTGCTGGCACACCAGCTGCCTTTTTGTACTCCAGAGCCCTGAACCCATATTATAAGGTAATGTGACTTTGACTGTCAGCTTAGCCATCAAGGTCATTCATTTGGGTTAGAATCTCAAACCAGATCATCTACAGGTGGAGACCTACAGTTATTGAGCACCTGCTATACGCCATGTACTTTCTTTAGGAGATAGACATATATAAATTTGTATATATATTTATATATATGAATAATTCTGTCCTACCAGAATTCCCCACATAAAAACCTCTGCCTGGACAGCCCTGTGACAAGCATTACTATCAGGTTTCCCCAGGTAGGGGTATCCTATTCCAATCAGAATTATTCCCTCTTGATAATTCTAATAAATTCTTATTTCTTTACATTTTATTATGAAAAGTTTCAAATAGAAAATATTTCTTGTGTAATTTACACTACATAATTTCAACTATTTTGTGGAAAAGGGAGTGAGATAGGGTCTGAGCTAATAGGTAGCTTTTACAAACTGCTGCCACAAACATTCCCTTATTTGTTGCTAGTGTCGACATGAATAGGAATCTATAAATAAAACAATTACGGTGAAATGAAAAATACAATGAGTCACATGACGTCAGTTATTGCATATGATTTAATTTCCACTGAACTCTACTATTCCCGCAGCACTACATAATTGAGCTTAATTCAGTTTTCCCTAGATACTACTGAAAGAGTCAATGACTCAAGGCAAGAAATCAGATTAAAAAAATAAAAAGGACTGACTCCAAAACAACATACCAACATTCTGAAACTAACTTAAAAGGAACTTTAATTTTGCCAACTAATAACAACACTGACTTTTTAGCCCTAAGTACCCCAGCTTCAGTTCCAAGGCTTTTCCAATATACTAACTTGCCCACCAGCCATTTCTGCTAGCCATCTCACAAGGCTTATTACACATTCTAAAAGCTGCTATGCAGCCTGTTACAATGTTTTGCTTAAGTAATAAGGACCTAAACAGGTCAACTACAAAGAATGATTGCTAAGTCACCCTTTAAGGCACAGGAGTCAGGAACACTGATGTCTAGTCCTATCCTTGCCAATAAACAGCAAGGCAGTTTCCCTCCATTTC